CAGAAGTCAGACTCGATCACTGAACCATCCTTAAAAATTTTGAACCTGCTAAAAGTCAAAATTCTATCACCAAAAATCGATATGATTTAAATAACTCATAAAAGGAAAATTTTAGCAAAAGTAAATCTGAAATTTTCAATTCAGTTGCATCATATAATAACTCAATCCCGTTAGGCAAATATTACATAGATTGTTTCATAATCCAAAAAAAAAAAAATCGTCTCATAATCGGATAGGGCATCAATATATTTATATTTGAATCCATGAAAGAACCTATTACCAATTCAAATTCCAATAATCGGTTAAAAATATGATCCATATCCGACAAACCGAATTTGAAATATGGATTAAAATATGATCCATAGGCCTAGACACGACCCATAAACCCTATCTGCACCTACAACATTACAGAGTCAATTCTCAGAGCAAACCCAGCATTGAAAACTTTCTTGTGTCATCTCTTTCCCCAGCACAACAACAGAAGCCAACTGCTCTGGCGTTTGTACCATATTCCCTAAAATCTGGGACTCCATCCAAGTTATATTTTATGTAGGAGGGTTTCTCCGCACAATATTGGAAATCTCTCTATATAGGCAAAGAATACTGATGTATAAGGGTATTAAGTTGCGTCTTATCGCATGATCTTTCATGGTGATATTTTTATGTCGTATCATTATTATTTGTGTTAAATCTCATAAAAAAAATCTATTTAATGTATTATAAATGTCAAACATTAATTTTAACCATTTATTATACATATTTAATAATCGTATCAATTTTAAAATTGTGTCGAGTTCACGTTGAGGAGTCAGAGTTGACCCCCCTATTGATGTACAGGTTCTTCGCTATTTGAAATTTCGTATTTATCTATGAACGAATAATACTTGAATTCAACAGCTAGCCGGGTGAGAAGTAGGACAAAAATCTCAATCAGAATCAGAGAATTTTTCACTTGAGAGTTGAGACTAAGTCTTTCTCTTTTGGATCGGATTTAGCCCTAGACCTTGGTACGCTGAGGTTAAGCTTTTCCCGGGTTTCCTCTTAAAGCGGCATAGCTCCCAAGTACCATTTGTCTTCAAGCCTATCTCCCACTTCTCACTGTGCTTTTGATTCCACCTCTTAATCGACGGGCGATTTCTAATTGCTTTGGCCCAGTAAGCACTATGAACTAACTTCCTTACAGACAGACTTAACTACCATACGAGTCAAGAGCCAATCCTTTGTGGCCTACAAAAATGAAAAGAAGACGAAAAACAAAGCAAAACCATATTCAGTGTATCCGAATATGGGTTATTATGTAAAGGTGTTTATAGCGAACTTTTTTATAATATAACTAAGTTGTCTCGACAAAATGTTCAATGAATTATACGCATTACATAACAGTGTCAACTAGCATACACACTCAATAAAAAATTGTCATAACACTAATTTGTGGGATGTACAAGTCAATTTTTTCAATACAAATTCTAAAAAAATAATACGTATCATTCATTCATTAGAAATATAAAATAATTTATTAATAGTGTATATGACACAAAACTACCGTAGTGTGTTACGCGTACCAAAAAAATTCTCCTAATATTTCAAATGCTATTGAGGTACTTTATTTTGATTTTTTTTTTTTTAGGTAAAAGCTTTATTTGACAAGTACCATTTATTTATGTGTAGTCTTGTCATTCTCTCCTTTTGGCCTTCCCCCAACATCCAAACAAGTCTAGTGGCCTTCTACCTCCCCCACGCCCACCCTCCACCCTCCATCCTCCATTCCCCTCCTCATCATTCTCTTAAATAATCATTTATTTTAAAATTTTAAGTTATTAAAAAGACTGTAATTTAAGTATTTATATATCAACACGTTCTTTAACGTACAAGTTAAATTTTGAGTCTAACACGTAAATTTTTTTTAATAATTAGGGTATCGGCAATATTCAAACATGTCACATTTGATATGATATCATGTTCAACAACCATATATTTCAAAAATTTAAGCTAGCAAAGTGAGTGTAACTTAAATATTTATATTTCAACACCTTTCAATTTTTGTAAGAATGTTAATTACATTTTCTTTTGCCGTTTGTTGAGCATATACATCAAGAGAATGTGACATGTCAAAGAATGTATACATTGTATTTAAGTTGCATAGTCTTTAAGTCATAGCAAAAAAAGAACAAACTTGGTGGTCCTAGAGTCCCCACAACAGACCAAAACACTTCTTTCTATCTTCCATGACCTGTGTACGCCATTCACCTTCCCCAGCCAACTCGGTTTTGTGAGGAAGAGTGGTCCACTAAGAACCTTTGTTTGTGTTTCTTTACAATAAAATCGTTCTAATTATGTGTCTTTTAAACTCAAACTTGCATTTTGAGATATAACGCCCACAAATCATGTTTAACAGTTTAACCAAGATGTTTTTTTACATGACTTGAATTTAGGATATTGAGTTAATAACCCATGATGACATCTTCCACTCAGTAGTACTAGTACTAATCCCGTTTACACATAGATAAAATTGTTCAATTGTGACGTGTTTGTCAAGAATTAAGATTTATAAAAACAGCCTCTTTGCATGGTAGATAAAAACTAGATACAATTTGAATCCCGGACTTTAAAGTGGTGGAAGTTTCGGTATTTATCTTTTTTTTTTTGGGTTCAATGGTTAAGAGTGTCCGGGCCAACTTACATGCACTTTAACTAAATTGAGAGATAAATTCCTTATGACTTGACCTTAAAAGGTTGCCAAGATTCAAAAATAAGACGTCTAAATTCTCAATTCGTTCCTATTACCATTTAAATTACCCCTTCAAATTTTTTATTTATCTTTCCATGCTCACATAAAGTTGGCCACTATGTGCCATTAACTTAAGACCAATTGTATCAGTTAGATTCCCAAATCGGATGTCTAGTTGGGGCCTCAGGACATGATATAGGTGTCTTCACTCACGCTTAAGAGAAGAAATGTTTAGGGTGAAAGTCGCTTCAAACCATCCATCCAACTATAAAAGCCTTTCAATGGGTTTTCCTCAACCCAACAATAGCATAGTTTTTCAAAGCTTATTTGCCGTTACAACTTTAAAAACCATTTTAATTGTCATGTTAGAGTACTTCTTTGGTAAAAACATTTATAGCAATCTCAAGTTTCTTGGTAAAATTATCCCGTGTCGTGTCGTGCTAGATGTAACGTTTACAAATTTCGTATTTGTCACAGTTTAAGGAGGGAATAATTGTTTATCTATTAATTTTTTTTTTTTTTGAATAATACTAGTTATTAGATTTATTTTCTTAATATCAAGAATTTTTATTTATATTAATATATTCATGCCAATCATATTACACCATATGTCCAATTCCCCATCCACTGTGTAATAACTACTCATTCAAAGTTGCTAAATGAAATTTCATTTTATCACCATAATTTATGATATTTCTTTATCTATTTTGCTAACTTCTTAATTGGGTGTAAAGGAGAAGTAGAGGAAATGTGAATTCCATGCATCGCACAAGGTAATATTTAAATATTTATTAATTTATCATTGTCAACAAAAACATAGATAAATAAAAAAAATCATCAAAAAATTTTAAGAAAATTAATTTTTCCAAGAGAGATAGGGGAGTTAATAAAGTCAAATTTTACAAACTTGAGTCCGGACTTGTAGAACTCGTTTTTTTTAACGAGTTTAAAAAATTATTCAAATTTGATTTATTTAGAAAATGAGCTGAGCCTAAGTTTGATCCGAACTCGAATAGTTCAATTTTTTTATATATAAACTAGCCGAGTGTTATGAGTTTGAGCCCCTCCAAAAAAAAAAAAAGAGTTTGAGCCGAATCTTTTAGGCTTGTAAAAAGAGCCGAGACGGAAAAATAATAGAAAATAAAAATCCAGAAAAGAAAAAAGGAAAAAGCCAACAAGGCCGGTGCTAAGGTCACCGGATCTTCGCCTTGAAATGAACTTTAAATTAACGACTTTTCTCGCCAACTCATCACCTCCATCAATATCTCCTTTCTCTCTCCTCCAACATCATTTATCATTCATTCATGCCACCCTCCCTCTCTCTCTCTGTCTATCTCTCTCTAAAAATAGTATATCTCTACCCCCTTCACATCTGTATATACAGTCTCAGAATTATATATCTCTTCTTCAAATCTGAAAAGCCCCAAAAAGGTAGAGAGAGAGAGAAACACCACTGCAATTATTCACTTTCTTTTTAGTGCCTTGCTTTTTTACTCTTCCTTCTCTGCATCTCTCTGTGTCTCTCGTTCTATTTTGGCCAGCTATCCATACTCTTTTCGTCCATTCATACGCTTTTTCCTATCTTTCTCTCTCTAAGATCAAGTCTCATCATCATCAGCTTCCTGAGAGAGAAACATCGTCCGAGGTACGCATATTCTTCTGTATCATGTACGATGTTCTGATCGCTTTGGTAATTGTTAGATCTTTTGTTGTAGTTGCGTATCCAGCTATTGGTTTGAATTTCAGGTGTAGTTTGGATTTTATGTGTTGATCTGAGCTTAGATGGTGTAATTGTAATGTGTGAATGATCTTTTTGTGTTAATTTTAAAGATGGCTGATTTGTAGTTTGATGATTGTCTGATCTGTTTTTATGTTTATGTTTTGATTTGGTTTATTTTCAAGCTTAAATAATTAGTGGTTTGATGATTATCTGATCTGTTTTTATGTTTTTATTTGGTTTATTTTCAAGCTTAAATAATTAGTGGGTTGCTGCTTTAGACATGCGTGATTCGATCTGTAAAAGTTACTTGTGAGAGAGGAATTCGATAGTGAGTTAAGTTTTTGAACACATCAAGTGAAAGGGTTGTTGAGGTTCGTAAAAGTTTTTGATCTTGTTGGGTAATTTTCGATCAGCTTTGTCTGGACCATTTGGGATTAATCAGTACTCCAACATCTGTATGTGGGTGACAAATTTGATCTCATGGTGTTGGTCGTAATCACTAGATTTTGGATCACTTGAAATCAGGGTCAGCGCATTAATTGCTGAATGTGGATGGAAATATTTGATTCGAAAAGCAGTTGTCTAGTCAGTAATGCTATTGAGTTGAATTCATCTGTGATCTTCTTTACCGATTTTGGTCTGTATGGCGTCATTGGAATATTGAAAGCAGATGAGGCAAAAATAATACAGTTGCTGGTTCCTGATTGCCATGATTGTGTTGAAGCCAAAATGATTGCTGGCTGTATGCTTCTGCTTCACCCTCTAAAGAAAGAGGAAGAAACCGGGGGTTGCGGGGGTGGCGGTTATGAGGATAGGAAACATGGAAAGGTGACATTTAGTGATGCTGGAGCAACCACTGAGATATTGTATTCAGTCCTTCTCCCACTCATGCTGGGTTTGGCAGTGATGTGCTTCCACTTTTTAAATTAATTCAAGAAAAGTTTCAAGTAGGTAGTCGAGTGAATTATAGGCATCATGACCATTTGTGAAGGATAATTTTATAGATCTATCTTCACTTGAAACCCATCATAGAAGAGAAAAAAGGCAATGAAGGAAGACTTTGAAGTTATATGCACATTTTATGTCCATGTGATAACAATTTGTACTAATTACTGGCTCTTAAGGTTTAAGTTCTTTTTTCCTAGCTATTTCTGAATGTGTACTCTGTGGCATGCAATCGTTGAGAAGTCGAAGCTATTTGTGAAATACTTTGCTACAATACATCCATGTGGCAAGCAATTTTGGGCTTCCAGCCAATTGTTTGGAATTCTGACTTAGATACTTGCCAAGAAATACCATACGAAAGTATGGAGATACTATTAAGAATGCATAACACTAAGAGTAATGAATATAAAGGCCTTTAGGTTTTTAGACAAACCCAAGCCCTAGGTAAGAAAAAGGAAATCAAGAGACCCGAGGACAAATTTGACCCTGATTTTTTGCGTACCAATAATCAATGCTGTCCTTCGTTTAGACTAGTGCTTATGATATTAATTGATTAGTGTTCTCCGGACATATGCAATGACAATATTTTCCTTCCCTTTACTGCAGTGCAACATGGCTAGCACTTGGCCTAAATAGAAAGGAATGCATGACCAGCATGTAGCTTAGCCGATTCTTAAACTTCACTAACAAACCGTGGGATTGAAACCGCAAAACCAATTTGTTCGGTAGCCCTCTAGGCTCTAACTGCTCTAATTCATTGTATTTGCTCTTGCATCACAGATGTTCAATAATCAGCTGCAAACTATCAGAAGGAACAGGTCCCTAAAAGACCAATGGGATTCTGTTTTTATTTTTTATTTTTCTATTCATGTACTAAACCAAAAAAAAAAAAAATGGAAGGTGCTTCAGAATTAGTCTTGTCTTTGATATGCTGATTTTCCCTTGTTGAGTAATGACTTAATTCTAGGACAGAGTGCTTCTTATATCTATTTCTTTTTATTTTGGCTTTCTTTATAATTTTCTCAATTAATTTCCTGTCTTTCACCAAATGTTTGATGTAGTAATCCATTGAATTGATTCCCATTGATTACTTGAGATCGCTTGTCTTTCGAATTAGAATTTCTTTACACATAGGTATTGTTTACGATGCAAGTAGTATTAATAGACATTAGCATTTTGATGATGAAAAAGTCCAAAGTAAGGTAACACACATTAATTGTAATTTTTGTCTAAGAAAATTGTTGTTCTTTTTTTATTCGTTATAATCTGTGTAACCTTATTTAATGGTTTAGAGCTTGTTCTTTCATATGTGAAGTTGTACATGAGTTATGATTTTTATTTTATTTTGTAACATAGGGTTGTAAAAACTAATGATATTTACAACCTTTAAAAGTTCTATGTAGGATATAGATTTCGTCATCAAATATTCTATTTCATTTCAATAAGAAGTTAAGAAAAACAACCTGATATACCATGTAGAGCATCTTTTAGTTGAAAGTTGCTATATATTGGCTAGGTAAATTGTTTTGCTATTCTTTGAAATAATTTTCTAATACTTTTCCTCTAATCTTTTAAATTATAAAACGAATATGAGGGGCTATAGTGAAAACATTGGTAGCTCTGAACACCAGAAAGTGGGTAGGAAGTGGAGAATTAGGTTCACCATATTAGATTCTAGGAACTTCCTCCTTTTGTATTTATTGCGTTTGGGTGGTCACAGGAGATTGGCTTGGGTGGCAAGGAGCTTACTAATATTAAGGACCTCACAAATAGGTAATTAAAAAAATCGGTCTTCCTGAGATCTCAATAACACCCTCCCTCCCACACCAATAACAAAGAGAACCCAACCAAAATAAAGCATTCCAATGCCCCAACTACCTCTAGAGATCTTCTACTGGAGCAGGGGTGATATTCTAACCTTGTAGTGATTAGGCCAAGAAGATACTAACGGAAGTAAGGATATCATCCAATTTTGTAATTATTTTAAGAGAGCTTAAATAAGAAATGAAAATTTGATGTTAAGCTGATGTCAAAAGCACATAAATATGATTTTCAGTCTCAGGGTAGCTGCTTTGTGTAAGAGAAATTGAAGGTTAGGTTTGTACCTTATCCGTACTTGGATTGCTAGGACCAGCAATGTTGGTTAGTTATAACACCTTCCAGGGGTAGACATGTAAAGAGAGCTTATATTCCACATTGAATGATTAAGACCAAGGCTCATTCTTAGGGGGGCTATTCCACCCATTGCCAATAGGTTTTGAATGCTCTAACATGTTGTGTCAGTGGGCCAAGTCTCTTATTTATTTTAATTTTTGGATAACAGGTTATTTGTCTGTTTGTTTATTAATTGGTCCCACGTATGAGTCCAGTTCCCGCATGAGGGAAGGTGTAAAGAGAGCTTGTATCCCATAATGAATGATTGAGACCATTCAAGGCTCGTTTATATACTTAAGGAGCCACTCCACTCATTGCCAATAGGTTTTAAGTTGGATGCTCTAATAGATATAGCATGAGAGAAATGGGGGAAGTTGCTCCCATTGCAATTCTAAAGAATATTGGGTTTGAAAAAAGTTAAGATTTAATTAAAATTTTAAAATTTTAATATTTGTTAGAATTTGCCCCCACTAAGAAGTTGAGGTTTAAGTACATACTTGAGGGGCCACTCCACACAAAGTCAATTGGTTTTGATTTGGATGCTCTAACAATTGACATTATAGTTTTGAGTCCTTATTGAGTGTTAGGTTGCCCCCCATTGAGAATTGGGAAATTTTAAGACAATCAGATGCAATGCACATGAATAAATATGGCTTTCGTTGTCCGGATATCTAGTGTAGCAGGCCTGTGTCTTCCATGAGTGATGGGTTTGAAAATACCAATGAAGTAAAATGTTTGCTACAGCTTTAGTTGTGCCCTCAGGCTCCTCCTGGCTCCTACAATGGATTATTTTACCCACAAACAAGAAAAGGAAAAAATATTTATTGCTTGTCTATGTGATGATTAATATGGAAGTGGTGAGTCTTGGTGTACTTGTACTTGGTCATTGTTTACTTTCTGGTAACAGTCAAAGCTGTGCTGATGCAACAGCATACATGTGGCGTAACTGGTAAAAGGAAGTATTTCCGCAACATGATTCTTAGGAGCTCAACTAACATTTTTCTAGGCTTCAGAAACTCCCCTAGTTATTTTATAAAGTAACATAGATAGTATTAATTAGAAAATTGTGAACATTAGGAGGGGCCACCGTCTTGTTGCACTTATATTGCCTGCACCTGAGGTGCGAAAGAAAGACAAGGAATGTAGACAGCAAAATGCCTCAGGCCACTTTTTTAAGCATGGTAAGAAGCCTTTCTGCAAGAGCAAATCTCTGTTTGTAAAGAATCTTTCAGCTAGGAAGGACAGCAGCTCAGCCCCATTTTCAATACCCAGCCCAAGCTGCACCCCCTTTCTGGGCACAGCCAGACAAATGACACAGAACTACTAGAAGGATCATTTATCATCCTGGTGGTTTTGCAAGACTGCTGGTGGAAACCGTGTGCATAAAAAAATAGACATTCAAACTTATACATTAGCAGTTTTCAAAATTTAGGCATTTGTCTCATGTGAAGAATAGTGCTCAAGATCAAGATTATTATTAACCAAGAATGCCACAGACTTTACATGGCAGCCGGGAAGCACTCAGTGACATCTAAAATTACATTTTCCAGCATTCCGTAATTTTGTTAAATGGACATTAAGCCAGTCTTCAACAGGAACATGGCTACTTCATCAAACTGATTAAACGGGTGGATCCAAACCTGGTTTCATGACGGGTGGCCTATCACCTCATAACTTGAGCTCCGAGTGCAGATATCATAATATGGTAAAATTCCAGTTCAAAGGAGTAGCTCAGGTGAAAAATGTTATTGCAGGGCTTCGGAAGAAGTTGCACACTGCAGGAGATGACGGCCACTATTATATGGGGTAGTCTACCTATTATGTTAGTCTAGAATAAAGTTTTCTTGAGGAAGAAATATACTGGTAGTTTTGACAGAATGAAAAATTGAGCAGTCATTTCTTTGTCAATTCTTATCTGTGACCTTGAAGGCATCTGGTTAAAAATTCTGGAATTAATCTTGGTGAGTGGCAGCTGCCACAAAAGCACAAGAAAATTGACCCTTGCTTGACGTTGCTGGTCAATAAATGTATCTGTATGATGTTTTTGTTGGTTGGGTTTCTGACTAATTAATGCCAACAACCATGCCATTTCCTGCAGCTACATAGATAATTAGACTTCTCTAATTTGTTGTGCTTGTTACCTTTATGTTCCCTTCATGTATTTTCTCTTAACTCCCTTCTTCCTCCCTGGTGCTTTCTGTAGAGCCACTTGTGGAATTCAGATATAGCAGAATTTGGGAGCTTGTTTGTGTTTGTCCTCTGTTCTCGTTGAAAGAAAGAGTAATTTGAAAGGAATCTAGAAGATGTCTAGCTCTGCAAAATCTTTGGAACCTGCATTTCAGGGATCGGGTCAAAGAGTGTATCCTTTCTAGCTCTACTTCACTTGGTAAATGTATTAGTTTGGTGGCTATTGTTATTTTACTTACTCAGAAGGAAAGTAAGAACAAGATATAATGCATATGAGTTTGTTTTATTTTGGTGCGCACTATCCTTGTAAATGATGAACATGCGCAGTTGCTCTTTTGACTTCTGGGAGTTGTACTTAACACCTTGTAGTGGGAGTGAAATTTGGAGAATTGAGAACTTCCAGCCTGTTCCTTTGCCAAAATCTGACTATGGCAGATTCTACTCTGGTGATTCATACATTGTCTTGCAGGTGCCTACAGTGTTCAATATTTAGCTCCTTTTTCACTTTGGGAACACGTCTGCATGTTAGATTATTTTTTTCCGTATGATAATTATTTTTTTGTGGGGAGGTGGGGGGGGGGGGGGTAAAATGAGAGTCCATTGGAAGGGGTTTCTTTTTGCATTAGCATGCTTATCTAGTTTGTTATATAATTCTGCAGACAACTCCTGGCAAGGGAGGTGCTTATTTTTATGACATACACTTTTGGCTTGGAAAAGATACTAGCCAGGTGTGACCTTTTTCTTCTTTCTGCTCTTATCTGAACTTGTTCTTGCCTCATAGTATGTTCTTTCTTGATATTCTGAATTGTAATAGGATGAAGCTGGAACAGCAGCTATAAAAACCGTTGAACTTGATGCAATTCTTGGTGGGCGTGCAGTACAGTACAGAGAAGTTCAAGGTCATGAGTCTGACAAATTTTTGTCATACTTCAAGCCATGTATTATACCACTGGAGGGCGGCATTGCCTCTGGATTCAAGAAACTTGAGGAGGAAGAATTTGAAATACGATTGTATGTCTGCAGAGGAAAACGAGTTGTCAGATTGAAACAGGTATGAGGGCATCAAAACATTGATTTCACGAGTTGAAATTCTTGTCAACATTGCTTTGATTGGATTATGGGAATATAATTCGTTCTTTCTGGTTACCTAGGTCCCCTTTTCTCGGTCCTCACTGAATCACGATGATGTGTTTATCCTAGACACAAAAGATAAGATTTTTCAATTCAATGGTGCAAACTCCAATATACAAGAAAGGGCCAAGGCGTTGGAAGTGATTCAGTTTTTAAAGGGCAAGTATCATAATGGGAAATGTGATGTCGCTATTGTTGGTAAGTTTACATCTTCTTACCCAAAAAAAAAACAGAACATGTAATTACAAACTTCATCGGTGTTATTGACCCCTCTTTAATAATTTTTTGAGGTATTTAGAATTTTTGAACTAAATTTCGTCATGCTTAACATCTTTACCGGTAGTTTCTAATTGATCATTTGGTTATATTTGTAACATGATGTTCACTGTGCTAGACGATGGAAAGCTACAGGCTGAATCAGATTCCGGTGAATTCTGGGTCATATTTGGTGGCTTTGCTCCAATTGGCAAAAAGGTAGCTAGTGAAGATGATGTTATTCCAGAGAAAACTCCTCCCAAACTTTATAGGTATTCTTCTCTTTTCTGGTTTGTTTTCATTTTCAGTTGAGGAGGCAGCCTTATAAATTACTATAGAGTAATGATTGTCAATGACTATGAAGCACGGATACTTCAAAAGGGTCAAAGTATCAGAATCGGATACTTCCCCGGATACGGATACGTGTCCGATACAGCTGGATACGTATTCAATATGGCTGGGAAGTACCCTAGAATTAAAAAAAATAAATTTGAATTTCGAATACTTCAGGATGCGTCGGGGATACATCGGGGATACGTCAGAGATACGGTGGGGTATTACTTAAATTTTTTAAATTGCACTAAAGCAAATATGCTTGGGCTCTTATTTGTTAAAAGAAAAAAAAAAGAAAAATTTATGAATTAATGATTTCTGAATGATAGAATGGTTAGTTATTATATATCTTTGATAGATGTGTGATTCACTTTATAAATCATAATTATTATATTAAATATAATAATAAAATATTTAAAAAATATATTTTATGAACGTTTTCTAGCCGTATCCGTATCTTTTTTTTTTAGATTTTGTCGTATCGTCGTATTCGTATCCGTATCCGTGCTTCATAGCTCTCCGATATTTTGATTGCCTTACTTGGTTACACTAAATTACTAGATAGTTAGAATTTCTTTCAATTTAAATACATGGCATACGTATAACAAATTATTAAATTGTGTGACTTGGAAAAAGTGAAAGATCACTTTTGCATATTTCTAATTGCGGATTGAGTTATAATTACACAGAGAGAGTATGAACTAAAAATGGATTATTATTTGGGTTTCAAATAAGAACCCTAGTGCGAGGAATTGACTACAAAATGACTAATTTATCTTTCATTTGATAGATCAACATTTGTTCAAAATTAGTCAAACTAGAATAAATAAACAATCCACCACCCCGGCCCCACCCCACTAACCCAAGATTAGTGAAACCCCTCCCATCTACACAACCACCAGCACCCCCACTTCAATCCCTTCTCCTTCCCACACTGCATCGCCTTTTCCCAAGTAGCACCCTCTTCCTCTACAAAATCATTCGGCCTACAACTCCTACGCTTATTCCTCAAATCCTAGGTAAAAATGTCCTTGCCCATTAACATTTCTTTTAGCCCCACCCCAATAAATCCCTCCCTCAGAATCCAAACCTGATTTGTTGACAATGCCCACAATCCTTCCCCCTTCTACCCCAGCTGCAAAATCAGTGGCGGAGCCACTCAAGGACCTGTGCCCACACTCAATTTTTTTTCCGCATTATATTTTTTTTAAGTATATCTAATTATGCTCACCCTATTATTATTATTTTTTTTTCATATTAATTAGATACGCTAACACCTAAATGACTAGCAGTGGACACATTTTAAATTTATTCAGATTAGTTTGGACATATTGTGTTATTTAAAAATTGTTTGATTAACTTGACCATTTTATTATTGATGTGTACTTTAGCATTGAGTTTGAAGCCTAGCAGAGATTTGTAATCTTGCTCACAAAATTTTAAGATAAAAAAATGTGGTATATCTTTTAGTGTACGTATTTATGATTTTGTTATTAATTTTACTAGTCATTAAGAATGAAGTCATTAGACAACACTATCAATGTATAAAAATTTGTCGGGTAAATTGTAACTAATTATAATTAACCTCAATTTCAATAAAGGACTATAATTAATCTATTTTCTGTTGTGCACATATATACATAAAATTTTTAAGGATCATTGATGAAATGAATAGTTTAAATGTGTCATCTTCCTTTTATCGCTTCGGAGAAGACGTGTTAGAGGGACCACCGTAGAACATTTTTTTGGCTGCACAAAACTATAGCCATCAACAAAGGAGAATGATGAAGGAGACAGAGTTTAGTTTGACTGAGAGTAGTGAATAGTGCAGTTCGATTACTCTCTCTAAAATGAATTAAATTTGGGTTTACTTTGAGGTTTCATTTGAGTTTTGCGATGAATTTGGTGTGTATGGATGATGACTTTTTTCTTTATTTTGGTTGATCTTTTGATTTAATCTAGTTGCATCTATAATTGAATTTGGTTGTGGATGTGGTGGTGGTGGCAGTGGTGGATTTCGGTTGGCAGCAACGGTTGTGTTGGTAGTGCCGGAGGTGCATGTATGTGGGTGTCTGTTGCTGTTCAGAGATAGTGCAAGTAAGAAAGAGAATGACGAAGAAGGGGGTGCAGGTGTTTGGTTATATGGCTATATTTACTCCGGTCAGGAATATGTTTGGATAGAATATTGTTCTGTTTTAACAAGGACTAAGGGGGTAAAATTTGGCTTTTAAGCATAAGTTTTGTTGATGCCATATTTTTTGACCACATATGAGGTTTGATTAATACAACTTATTAAAGGTAAGGGGTCCCTGTGCCATTGTTGAAATGTTGAGGGTGTCCATCTTGTTTGGATTATTGTCAGGGAGAGGCATTCATTATTACCTTTTCATACTTAAAGTCAAAAAGTGTCATTGATTATTATTCCTTCATATTTAAAGCTCTAGACGTAGCAGAATGGAGCAACAAGATTTATGTAGCTGACCATAATTAATTGTGAAAAGGCATAGTGGATTTTTTTGTCATACTTGGACTTGGTCTAAAGTATTTTGATTTCTTTTACATTTTTGTTACTGTTTTTTCTATTTTGTTGTACATGTGCTATTAGCTAGTCATGCTCATTAGCTGTGAATACAGTGGTAAGAACTTGGGCGGGACCCAGTTTCTTTATTATACGAATGGTTAGTGTCAGCCTTCTAGGCGCACAATTTAATGCATTTCGTTTCCTATGTGTCGGATTTTGTAGTTTTCTATATTTCTTCAACATTGTTCTATATGAAAACTTCTTTTAGTTGATTGGTAGTCCTACCTATATGTTAATTAATTAAGGTATTTAAGTGAGCACCCCTTTGTATATTTAATTCTTAATGTAGTCCTTGTGGTGTGCACAATTTGTTTATAAGTTGGTTGATGCGTTTTTCAGTGTTTTAAAAAGAGTGCCTAGGCGAGAAGCGAGGCGAAGCGAAGGGATCTCGCCTGGAAGATCACAGGCGAAGAGAATGTGAGTGAAGCGAGAAAAAAACGATCGCTTTTCGCTTAAGTGAGAAGCGAAAAAGCGAACGCTTGAGTCATTAGAGGCGAAGTTGTTTTATTTTTATTATGGACCGTTGGATTGAACAATTGGAAAAAAAATTATAAGATGTTGATACACTGAATTATCCCCTTATCCCATAAATACAACCTTAAACCCTAAGTTTATTTCTCAAATTACACGATCGCTGGACCAGAAGACAAAACACAGAGAAAATAGAACACAGAGATCGCTGCTCTTACTCGATCGACAACGTCGTTGCTCTTCTCGATGGACTGGACAGAGACGATCGCCGAAGGCTGGACAGATCTTGCTAATCGTTGTTCCTTCCTTCCTCACACGATCGACAAAGTCGCTGCTTCTCTCAGTGGACTGGACAGAGTCGCTGCTCCTTCCTCCCTCATTGATCTTGTTGATCGTTGCTCCTTCTAGACAGAGACTCGATCGTTGTAGGTTAAGTCTTCTCTTTTTCTTCTCTCTTCTATTTCTCTTTTCTTTTTCTCTCTTCTAGTTCTGGTTCTGGGTTGGTTTTTTTTTTTTTCCCAGATTCTGATTCTACTCCTTTTTTTTCCTGATTGTGCTGCTGTTTTGCTATCCTCTTCTGTTTTGCTATTCTAAATCTGATAGTGTTGTTCTATTTTCCTGTCGTGCTGCTGTTTTATTGTATTGTTTTGCTATCCTAAAATGTGATTCAGTACGTGTATAAGCCAACGAATGTACATAAAAATATTTAGTATATATAAAATTAGAACTTAGATGTTTAGAAATAGTTAAACTAAAATATTTATTATTTTTTTTAACTCTTCGTTTCGCTTCGGTAAAGCGTGTCGCTTCGCTCCTCGCTTAGGTGTTAGGAGCCTTGGTCGCTTCGGTTTGCTTTACGCTTTAAATAACACTGGCGTTTTTGTCAATGTTAAAATTAGCTACGCCATCAGTCATCACATATACTCACAACAAATGAATTGGATGTGGTTCCAATTCGTGGTTAAGGTAGTACATTATCCTCATGTCCTTTCTGAAATTTCAGGTTATTGTACTCTGACTACCTTTCAGATTCCTGCTTAAACTGATTTTCTTGTTTCATATGGAAGGCATTTATCTATCTTGCCACTATGCCGTGCCTGGTTGGGTTGATTTGTTATAAACCTGTTTCAGGGAGCTTTTACAACTCAATGTTTGATTATAATTTTGACTAAGAGGAAAACAATGTACTTAAGGTCTGTTTCGTGATTCTCTCATGTTCAGTATGGTGCTCATTTCTAAGGGATAGCATCGATAAGTTTGATGGTTGAGGAATGATGCATCAGCACCTCACTGAAGCTAGCATACTAGATATGCCGACTACTTTTTGAGTTCTGAGGGTCGTCTTTTTTTCATTCTTAAGTGCCTTTAATTGCTTGTCTTTTCTTTTTCATTTTTCTGATCCATGCAATTTTTGGTTGCTCAGTTGGTGTATATGTTCTCCATGGTTAAAATAGTTACTTTTAGGGAAGCTTTGTTAACCAGAATACTAGTGGTTGACGTTGTGGGTATTTATCACCATTAGATGCTAATTTTTTATACTTGGGTTTTTCAGCATTGATGATGGTCAGGTTAATGGTGTAGATGGTGAACTTTCTAAGTCATCATTGGAAAACAACAAATGCTATTTATTGGATTGTGGGGCTGACGTGTTTATTTGGATTGGTCGAGTAACTCAAGTGGAGGATAGGAAAGCTGCTATCCAAGCTGCTGAGGTACAGCTTAGCATTTAAATTCTCATGTTGTTTATTATGTCATTTGCACTGATATCTATATGCTTTTTATACCATTCTGATTCTCATTTATAATGTTGCTCCAGGAATTTGTTGCTAGCCAAAATAGGCCAAAGTCTACCCGTATTACCCGGATTATTCAAGGGTACGAGACACATCCATTCAAGTCCAACTTTGATTCTTGGCCATCAGGGTCGGCACCTTCTGCTCCTGAGGAGGGAAGAGGAAAAGTAGCTGGTAGATTCAATTCCTTACTCATGAAAAGCATATATTCACTTCCTTACTCATGAAAAGCATGAAAATAGTTTCTGGTTATGATTATTATTTATCAACATGGTTTTGTATTGCTAGCTTTGCTGAAGCAACAAGGTGTTGGTGTCAAGGGAGTGGCAAAAGGTGCTCCTGTAAATGAAGAAGTCCCACCTTTGCTTGAAGGTGGTGGAAAAATTGAGGTTTGGGTTGTTAATTTTTTTTAAAAAATTTTGTGGTCTTTAGCATGTGTTTGATTTATATAAGCTGGTTCAGACTCGTATTCCTAGGACTATGAATATACTGTTTTCCAGGTGTGGCATATTAATGGCAGTGTCAAGACCCCAGTTCCCAAAGAGGACATTGGCAAGTTCTATAGCGGAGATTGCTACATCATTCTTTACACCTACCATTCTAATGATAAGAAAGAAGATTACTACTTGTGCTATTGGATTGGGAAGGATAGCATTGAGGTAATCTACCTTGTTGGCACCAGATTTTGCAATTATGAAAGAAAAGGAGATATACATACAGACGATAACGTACACAAAACTGACGTGTGTCTTTGATTGGTGCCTTTAAAAATTCAGGTCTTTCTTTTATTATTATTCAATTTGTTTGCAATTTTTTTTTCTTTTCAGAAGACCAATATCCAAGCATTTTGGAGGGATATTAGTTTTAGTTGAAAAAGGCATCCAAAAGATAATGGTAGTCTTATGAAACTGTACTTGGGGACTTTCTGTTTTTCCTCTAACAATTTGAGTAAAGAGTTGGGTATTGTTTGTTTCGTTTTTTTGAAAAAGGTATTAGAACAGAAGCAAACCTGCTTGCATCTTCAATTGATACTCACTTAATGGATCACAAATGTATCAGTTGCCTTTTATCTGATATAGGTGTGGATCAAAATGCTCTTTTGAAATTTTTTTTGATTAACTCCATCAAACTAGTTCAGTTTTCTTTATCTACTGAACTTGCAGAGCTCCACAAGGGTTTACTAGAGCCGTCTGTAGGTGCTTTGAAATCGTAGGCCAACTTTTGCTGTTTATGAGTCTCCTTTTTGCCCTTCACTCATTATTGAAGCACCTAACAATTTCCATTGATTTTTTCTTTTCATTTATTTTTCAAAATTATGTTGATTTACCTCTTCTTACATGTCCATATGCTGCACATCAAATCATCAACTGACTTCATCTTCTGAGTTCCATTTCTTGCTTGTTACAATGTTTTGACAGTTTATGCTTCTTTTATTGGTAAATATACTTCCTTGTTTGCCTTTACTTTAAGACTTGAGTTTTAGACCTCAAATCCAAGATTTGTACTGGTATTTCATGAGACATAACTTGGATATGATTTACTGAGCTGGAATAACATTGGACCTTTATTTTGCTTGTACCTTTTTCTTTTTGCAAATATGTGTAGGTTGAATATTTATGCATCCACCAGGTTGTTCAAGTTTTTTTTGACTATTTTGCTTCCTTTTGTTCTGTTTAATCCTAGGTTGGTTTTGTGATTGTTTTCTTTATTTTTTTTAATATATCTTTAAACATGATATTTTCCAACTTCAGGAAGATCAAAAGATGGCTGCTCAGTTGGCTACTACAATGTCCAACTCACTGAAGGGCAGGCCCATACTGGTATGATCCTGTTTTGTTGTTTAATAAACAGCGAAAATCAATTTGAAGACTGTGATGTGACATGAGGTTCATGCAGGGTCGCATATTTCAAGGGAAAGAGCCACCACAATTCGTTGCTATCTTTCAGCCTATGGTGGTCCTGAAGGTCCCCCCTCTACACATTTAACTTTGAAATTATACTGCTGTTTGAAGATGTGTAGTTCAAAGGTCTCCATGGTTTGCTTTAAATTTTAATGATGTGATATACTGTGTTAGGGAGGCATAAGCTCTGGATACAAAAACTATATTGCAGACAAGGGTTTGAATGATGAGACTTATACGTTTGATTGTGTTGCGCTCATTCGGATATCAGGAACTGCTGTGCATAACAACAAAGCTGTGCAAGTTGATGCGGTATGCTTCTTGATTTATTCGTTGTTTGAATTACTGTAATTAATATTTTGCTAATGCTTTGGAAAGTTTCTATTTTTTATCATAGGATCTCTATGTTACTTATATTTTTTTGATTTACACGACTATTTAGAATTCAGAAATTTTAAGATTTATGGTACTTTTCCTGGACGAGTATGGACTTGACACCTATTCCTGTGGTCTTCTTGATTTGATTATACATTTTAAACGTGAGAAGAAGTTGATCACCCACCTAATGTTGAAAGCGGCAGAGGTTTTGGTGGAAATTCCGGCAAGCTGCTGCGGATTGCTCTATTATTACAATTGTTGTAGTGATCTGGGCTGAGAGGAAAAATGACCTTTATTCAGTAGGCAGCCTCCTTGGAGCAAATGGTACATTTTGTTATGGTCTATTGAATTTCTAGGATGTAAGGAAAAATGACGTTATTCAGTAGGCAGTCCGCTTGAAGCAAATGGTGCATTTTGTTATGGACTATTGAATTTCTAGGATGTAAATTGATGACCGAGAGAATACCTCAACCTCTGGTTCTTGTATAACCAGTCATATCTTCTGGCATCCTTACTTGATCTATTTATTTTTTAGATGTAGAGTGCTCCTCCATTTGGAGTGTTGGGTAGTGGGAGATTGCAGCCTTTAGAGAACCAAAAGAGGGCTCGTCGTAAGAGGGTGGGCTTTGTCGGTGAGGTCACTCTATTGTGGCGTGGGTGACCTGGATTCGAGTATGGACATTGTCTCTCCCCATGCAAGGGTAAGACTGCATATATCGAATGCCCTCAGACCTAGTAGCTGGAGCCTCGTGAACTAGGTTGCCTTTTTTTGTTTGACATGAAGATTGAGTCTAATTTTCTCTAAAAAGGAATATGTGGAAGAGCTTTGATGATGGACACTCTTTACTTGAATAACCTATTGTATCGAGTCTATCTTTAGGCATTAGTTTTCACGAATTCCAGTGAGACAACTCTTTTGGTGTCTCAAACATTTAAAAGCTTCCGTAGTTACATTTTCTTTTAGCATCATTCACTGTTATCCTGGGTACTCGTCCCTATATGATTTCGGAAGCTAATTGTTGTCAGAGGTTCAGAGAAAGAAACAAAAGTTTGTCTTTAGTGTAGCAAGCAGTTTATTGGGCAAGGCTGGGTACTAGGAGGTCAAGTAGTCTTCTAGACAAGGTTGGGTACTAAGAGGACCTTATGGATACCTTGACGTTCTTAGAGAGCTTGTTGACCTCTATTTCACTGTGAAATGCATCTCATCAAAGTCCCTTTCACCTTCATCTCACACCAAGTATTTTGTAATTTCTTTGTCAAGAGTATTTATACTAGTAACCTTTTTTGGCTTTCTACTTTCCTCCTTGACTTACGTTCGGAGATCTTGATGTGATATAATCGACATACTGGGAATTTAGATAATTAGAACTATATACATATGAAATTAGAGTAATGGCATGTCAGTTCTTCGACTTTATTTGTTTAGTAAATCTACCTTTGTGGTCAAAGCCCAAGGATCTATAAAGTAGCTTATACTTGACAAAGACCTCTAGAATTCAAGCAGAATAATCAAGAATCCCATCATCTTGAAGGGGCCAACCAACTGACCAACTTGGAAACTGAGGGTCCATGTCACAAAACCTTTCCTTAGCTAAGAATCCCATTATTGATTGAGAAGAGGTACAATTTGGAGGGAGGCAGATTTCGACCCAACCTTTTGAGTATTTGCACTATTTCTGTTTCGATGAACAATCACTCATTTATAGTCAATGAAGCATGGTTACTTGTTGGAGGGGTGGCGTGACAGTATTAGACATGTGTTCAAGACGAACACGCATTGAACATGGCTAGAAGTATTATGAATAGTAAATTTATTTTTTTCTTCTTGGTCGGACATGACCATGATACAACCATTTTTTTTTAAATCTCATAACTGTTAACTATTAAATGGGTTGTAGGATTTCTTTATTTGGATTTTGTATTTTTTGTTATGTAACTTACGAACTATGAATGTTAATGGATGTAATGATGTTTGATGAAAATAATTGATATTTTTTTTGATCTATTTTAATTTTAATCAAAAATTAATATTTCCTAGTTCTTATTATTGATATTGTTATAAATGTTTTGTTTTTAATATATTTCAATTTTATTATTATCTTAAAAATATATAATATTATTTTAATTAGCCATATCTTTGCTGTAGCCATGTCCTATATTTTCGAATTTTATCGTATCTTCGTGTCTGTGTTTGTATTAGTATCCGTGCTTCCTAGCTTATAGTTATACTGCGGAATCGGGTCAACCACCCTTTTTATAAAGGGACTATATGAGTGTGGATAGAAATATCATCCACCTACTTTTTTTGTCTTCCATATGTTGTGATGCAGGAGGCCTGTTTGTTGTGGGATGCTGCTCCTTTCCTCTAAGGTTAAGGAAGCAGGGCACCTGTAAATGCTGCTTAGTCAAGAACCTGTTGAATGATTTAGTATCACATTTTAGCATGTTGTCGGGAATATTTCTCTTTATTACAATACCAAGCAACTGATGTGGTGATCAGCCTATCTTGATAGAAATGAATAGCAATTTGCATGGTTCTGTATCTCATGTTATCTGGAATTCTGTTGCATACTTGAGTAATTTTCTTCGCAATTTTTACAACATTTATCTGCCTATAATTGTTTTGGTTCAGGTGGGGACCTCATTGAATTCAAACGAGTGTTTCCTTCTGCAATCTGGCTCGTCAATATTTAGTTGGCATGGAAATCAGTGTACCTTTGAGCAGCAGCAATTAGCTGCAAAAGTTGCAGAGTTTTTGAAGGTATGCTCTTTGCAGAAAGTTCTCTTCATGTATTTATTTTACTTTGAGAAATGACGTGTCCACCAAAACATTTACCAAGTTTTTGAATCCCAAATGATGGGTCACATTGATAGCCATTGGATAGTTAGTGAGAGTTTGTGGGACCTAATGAATCTATGACTTATATTGATTTGGGATTCAAAATTTGGTAAAATATTTGGTGGATGTAGCATTTTTGTTTTACTTTTCATTTGTATTGGCCCTAAGAAGTATGACATGGCATGAAGATCTGAACGTATTTTAGATGTTTTTCTTTCTTATTGCTTCCATGACTTGGAAAGTTGCATTAACTAAGTTAAAATGTTCGTTATGTAAGTTTATGAGATCCCAAAACCTATTTTTGTGTTTTTTATATTCTTAATTTAGCTGCATTGAAAGCTTTTGTTTCTTGAAAGAATGTTGATCGAGAAGTATTCTGTAAGCTCTTACAGAAAATTTTATACTGAAATCATTTTTTTTTCAATTTCTTGGAAATTTCTTTTGTTTTTTTATGGGAAAAGTTAAAAGAGAAGTGTATTTTAATCATATAATTTTTCCCTCATGAAGGTTTATACGTTAGTGATGGAAAACTTTTGAAAATGTGATGCCCTGGCAAAGGAGATTTAGGTAACGGGTTATACTGTGAAACAGCATTGATTGAGTTGTGTGAACACAGACATGGGTGGCTCAGTTTAACATCGATGTTATATTAGGGACTTTACATACGAGGTTTTCTGACCGTCATGCCTGTCACCATGACTTTTCACATTTGGAAGTGCTTAGCAGTGAAAACTGGAAAAACGCTACAAACAGCTTCACGACCAAATTGCGCAACACTTGCATTTACTTTTTAGTATTAATAAGCAAAGGAGATGAGTACATACTGCCCCATGCCAAACTGGATTGATATGCATGTGACCATATTTCATGTAGTCAAGTGCTTTTTGCTTGTACAATCACTAGTCAGTTCTGTATTTCATGGTAAACGACAGCATTGGCTGAATGGATAGAGGGGAGTTAGTTTGGTGGTGCTCAGTGGGTTTCTTGATATTTTGGAGTCTAGGCATGTAGTTAGCTCTCTTGCCGAGTGATTTGAAATGTATTGTTTGGGTAAAGGGCGAGAAAAACAGGCTTAGAGGTTGTTGATAATACTCATTTGTTTGGAAGATTATTAATTTGTGAAGGTATTAATTCCATGTGAACTACAAATTCAGCTGCGGATTAGGCTTTTGAGGAATATTGTCATCTATTTGAACTATCAAAGTTTGATTTGAGTCTATTCCTTGCTGTAGTCTTCATCAAATCAATTTTCCGGTGGGCTGACTTGAGCACTTCCACTGAACTGCAATGTGCCTATCAGAAACATGAGTCAAATATTATGATGCTTGGATCACTAGAAACTGACACGAGTGACGGTCAACAAAATGTCCTCCCAAAAGGCAGATCCTGATGTTACTGAACAAAATATGCCATAGAGGTCTTTTCATTTCAACTGTTCATCCAAATGTTTTGGTCCAATTATTCTTTTCATTGGCTTAAATTAAGTGGCACACTAAGGTGTCAATATCATCTGCAGATACGAAGTGTCTTATAGGGTGGTCATTAAAAATTTGGGATGCAATTTAAGTGTATACATAGGCTTAGTGCGACATGTTATAAGGTGAGAATAGGAGTTTTCCTTCTTGTTCTACTTCTTTTCTTCATTTGCGCTGCAGCGCTTGTGTTTTTAGGTTAAAATTTTGTAACCAGCATCTCTGATTATTAGTTGATGTGATTCAGAAAATGTGTTTTTACCATTTTCCTGTAACTTCTCGCTATTTTTCTCCTTTTTTGATGAGTTTTTTTCCTACAAAATACTCCACTGTTGAGCATATTAGACATGCATTGCTTCGAAAAAGCTTAAACATGGACAAGATCCTCAACTTGTAGCTACTGTCACATAACTTCCAGTAATTCTAAGTTGACTTTATGGAGTTCAGTAGATCCATATCATTTTATTTGTTGATGTGAATTTTACCTATGGAAACATTTTTTTCTTTATTCATCTAACCTGCACGCATGTGTATCTTGTTGCACTGTGTGAACATTTTATATCTAGACATATGTTGGTTTGAATTGACTGATTTATACTTTTTACTCCATTTCACTGAGTTCTGAGCTCTTTCAACTTCTCCAATTTTGAGATACGAGTAGAAATTTTAATTTTACTGGGTTGTAGTCTTGCTCTTCCATAATACGCGATTTGTGAACTGAGTAACCAAATGGACGTGTTTTCACGATGAGATATGTGCTCTACTACATAGACATGTATGTGACTTTATTAATGGCTTAGGAATGCATAGTCTTGATTTGCTATTCTCTTGATTTTTTGGGGACTTGTAGGTTAAAATATTTCCTACCATCTGACAAATTTCATTTGAATTGCAAATACAGCCTGGTGTAGCTGTGAAACACACTAAAGAAGGAACTGAGAGCTCAGCTTTTTGGTTTGCAATTGGAGGAAAACAAAGTTACACTAGCAAAAATTTAGCTCAAGAGGTTGTCAGAGACCCTCACTTGTTCGCATTCTCACCGAACAAAGGTTGCATTTTGTTATTTATAACATAGTCATTTTGAGTTCTCTTTCTGCCCAAGTTTTTTTTAGCATGATATCTGGACATACAAATTTTTTATTATTCTGATTATCACCTCCAAGTCTAACTTCTTTTCTAATGGTTATTCCTGCTGCCATGTGGATCCCCAGGAAAGTTTGAGGTGAGTCTCATATTCAGATTTGATTAAATGGCTCACATTCTTATTCAGCTATTATTAAATCTTCAAAATATGGTTAAATTGGCAGGTTGAAGAAGTTTACAATTTTTCTCAAGATGACCTGTTGACTGAGGATATCTTAATACTAGACACGCATGCTGAGATCTTTGTTTGGGTAGGTCAGTCTGTGGATCCCAAAGAAAAGCAAACTGCTTTTGAAATCGGCCAGGTACTGCCTAAGTTCTCTGTGGTTTTTGAGAGTACGCATTCAATTGTCTACTTCTTTAATCATTGAAGGTCATTACAGAAATACATAGAGATGGCTGCATCTTTAGAGGGGTTGCCTCCAAATGTACCTCTGTACAAAGTCACAGAAGGAAATGAACCTTGCTTCTTCACAACATTTTTTTCCTGGGATCCCGCAAAAGCCATTGTATGTGCTGCTTTCACAGAAATTATCTTGTTTTTACGTTTTGAGTGTTTCATATTACATGCATATTCTTTGGCCCAATATAGTTGTGAATTTGTATGTTTGTTGAGCATTGGAGATGAAACTCGAAAAATGGTATTGGGTTTCAAGAGATAAGGAAGTTGCATTGAGAGAGTGTGCATGTTTGTTCAATCCTAATAGTTGATTACATGGTTAATCACAATTTCTTAGTTTTTTGGCACAAAGCCAAGTTACTCCAAACCTTTTTAGGAACACCACACCATAGCCATTGCGCAAGTGCAGAATGTGGCAACTCAAAATCTCAAGCAGAAGCAGAAGGTGCCATGTAGTGCAGGGGAAGTCAAAGGTGATGGGAACATGCCAGAGAGGTATGGGCGATGCCAGAAATTCAAAACTTGGTTGCCATCAAGGATGGAACAACATATTATATTTGGTTCAAAGGGATCACATTAAAAACATCCATGTTTAGGGTGGGTTCGACTTTCATAATATCTTGAAACATTGCACAAGGTTAAAGGACAACTCTGAAACTTATGATGCGAGGCATGTGTGTCTTGGTCCTAAGGTGGCCTCGCATTGACTATGAGACACATAAGGATGATTATGAGAAGTACAAAGACGCGAGGAAGAATAATCATTGGTTATGTTTACTACATAGGATCAATGATCAAAATTTGTTTCAGCGCATAGTTTCAATCAGCTCAGAAATGGAAATAATTTGAAAACATTTCAAAAATAGAATGAAAATGGAGAAAAAATTTAAAAATTTATTTCAAAAACATTGCTTAAAATACTTTAAAACATCCAAAACATATGAATTTTGATATTCAACTGTTGATTTGAAACATAAATGTTTCAATTGTTTTGGGGGAAACGAAATAAAATTTCTATCTTTTTAATAGGATAGAATATTGGAAGCGCTAGAATATTAAAAAAATAAAAGGCTTATTAACACGAAAGTGATAAGTCATTGACCAAAATGCCAAACCCTCAAGATTTATGGAACAAAGTCAAGTTTGGGTTGTTATACTTGGTAGGTAATATATCAGTCACACTTTCTGGCCAACGTCCACCATGAGCCAAGGATCAAAATTTCGTTTTAGTAGATTGTCTCGGTCACCTAAGCAACGAAAACGTTTCTAAAATGTTTCAAAGATATAATGGAAATGAGTAAAAATTTCGTCAATAAAAACATTGGTCAATGGTCAATATATTGAATTATCTTGAAATACCTCAAAACATTTGGAAACATTAGTGAAAACATGCCGAAACACTTTAAAATATTTGGAAACACCTTGAAAGCATTTGTTTGTTCTCCTCGGAAACAAGAACATTTTGGCTATTTCAATATGAAATTTTGATCCTTGCCATGACCCACTGACCCACTTTATCGACACTAGTCCAAAAATGTGGCTCTTTCGACGAATTCTTCTTGTAATTTTAATTTGGTAGACTCATTGCTTCATCCACAACTTAAAAGCACAGCAAGGGGTTTGGGACCTTATACTTGGATTGTATCATAAAGTGATAATAGAATAATGGTAGTGCAATTTGGTAGGTCAGTGCTTTTCAGAATAAAGATTAGCAGTTAATATATGTTGGGACAAAACAATGTAAAGGGAAGAAACTGCAACAACAATGGTGTGTTTCTTTGGGAATACTGAAGTCTAGAAACTAGATTAAGTTGTGATTAAAAGAGTAAAGTGTAAACACGTAGCATGATGTTGAACTGTTTTTCCCAAGAAAATCTGAGGTAACATAATTCTGGCCTTCCTGAGCATGCTTCTTAAGATTCTCCCTCTTTGACATTGGCAACCAACTTGTTAAAAATGACTCTTTTTAAAGGGAAGACAATTATTACAATACCTCAGCCTTTTTACCGTTGTTTGAAGCATGAAGTTTACACGTTTATTTTTTAGGTGCTCACTTAATTTATAAAGCACGGGCTCTTTAGGATGAACTGTGTTCATATACTCGTGGAACATACCTAGAAATGTGTTGGACATTGCTTATACGTTTCCAATTTTTGTAAGAAGAAACTTAATACAATATGCTTGGCAAAAATAAGTCAAGCGTGCAACAAACACCTTTGTTTTCTCAATAATAGAAGAATGTAGTCGTAATGAAAGAGATATGATAGAGTAGTTGTCAGTGGTAGAGCTAGAGTATCTTTGAGTTATACAATTACATCATGGTTATATGCATTTGCATATCATCCGCTCACCTTGGAAAATAGCCACATAACTCTCACAGGGTTGGTGGCCTAATGTGCACAATTACTCATCCATATTAATGAGATTGATGATGTGGCATACAAATACAAAATTTCCCACAAAAATTAACATAGCAAGAAAACAAGAACACCTTTATGACCTCTATATACAAACCTGTTCATCTTTTTATCATCTTCCTCATCTTATACTGAATGGGTCTTTGGTCTAATGGTACTCCTTACCTTGTGAAGGTTTTGCCTTTTTGAGGTCATGGTTTTAAGCCCCGATCTACCCTCCCCATCCACAAAAAATATATATATATATATATACTGAATGGGCAAATTCCCTACAAATAAAGAGGGCTGTCAAAGTTAAGTATCCTTAATTCAAGCAAAGATCAGACGATGAGATCTTTAGATATTGCGTACGAATTTCAAGAGGAATTGGGGCCACTTTGTTAGTTCCATCGGAGAAACCTTCAACGTCATTGGTGTCCAAAGCATTTACCATGCACACAAGCTCACTTCCATGGCTCTTATTTTTCCATACAGCCCAATGTTCTAAGAAGCACGGACACGGACACGATACAAATTAGTGTCAGAGACCTAAGATTGAGTAGCTAACAATGGATTTCTTGGTAAAATATTGTCATTGTAAGTATTAGTGTTAGAGTTGCTTAAGTTATAATAAGAGGTCAACGTTTAACTAAATAGTTGTTTTTGGTAAAAAAAAAAAAATAAGTAGCATCGTTGTCTCTGTAGTCCTACCCATAGAGTTACATGTTTCATCATCACAATAGAAGTGGCTACTCTCTGTCGAATGTCATTTTGTGGGCCACCTTTGTCACTTTCTATTATATAAAATTATGTTTACCTATTTATCCGGAAAGACAATCAATTAATATTTATTCTATATTTGTGATAGTTGTCACTATCATGTGAAAGCATAAATAATTATACAACCATACATACAAACTGTGTTAATATTGACTTTATATATGTGATAAGTATTCCTAAGAGAAACGTAATCCAAAATAGGTTCCAAGTAAGGGTTTTTAATAGTAAAAGTTGATGGTAGCATATTTTTATATTATGAAAAATTGGAATCCCTCACAAATGAAATATAAGTTTAAAGATACCAAAATAAGGGATAAAAGTACCAAAGAGAGTTACGGGTTTGGGGCGAGGATTATATTTTGGGGTTTACTAGGTTGTCAGTTGATTTGGGATTAGGCTACAAGTTGGGGTAAACCCAATCCGTTCAGGTCATATCAGTATCCCTAGTTTTGATTACTGGAAATTCCATAAATGGGGATCTCTGGACTGGACTTTTCACATTCAGCTGGAGGTGAAAGGGTATGGTGATTGGTTTGTCTTGATTAGGGGTTGATGTGATAGAGTTTCAGATCTAGAAAAGGATTGTTCTGAGGCTGGGAATAGTAACTTGTGAACAATTGTCTTGGATTTTCGTGTCAATCTTAAGTCTCATAGATTTAATATAGGCTAAAGAAAGGACTAGGCTTTGCAAAAAAAAGGTTTTTTGGTGTCAAAACAGGTGGTTAACAAGGTTTGTTTGCTTTGTTATAGGAGGAATAAAAGAATTAAGAATTCCACAATAGAATTCCATTCAAATCAATCCCCAAGGGAGGATTTGCTTTGAACACCAAAGAAAGCTTGAAAAACTTCACACAAATTTGCAATGACACTTTTCATTGAATTATAGAGACTACAAATTCATTTATCGATGGATTTTCCCCACTTTTACAAAATTATGGTTCAAAACTCAAGAACTCCCGGCTGATAGACTTTAAGACTACTCTAAAATATGTGTTGAGACTCGAATAATTGAATATTAGGGTTTAGGGAGAGAATGAGAAGTGGAAGAAAAGAGAAAAAAGAGATTATGAAATAATGTTGTGTGGAGGATATATTGCCCTACACCCTCTTATTTGTATTAAACTAATATTATGGATAATTACAATATTATCCTGCACTTCTAATAATAAAATATAAAAACTCTTAACAATATATAGGACTCCAAATGGACCCCACGTTAGAGGACTTCACATGAAATATGACTTGGAGGATTAGGATTCCTTGAAACCCAATAACAACACATAACATAGTTCCAGTGGATACTAACTTACAATTAACATAATGATGACGTGGATTTACCCAAAAAAATGGATATACGAGCACCAAGCAGCACCATGCAAATTATTTGAACCCTCCTTATTATTGTTCGCATCGTTACATTTTATTGTCTCATATTAGTTCGACTATTAAATTTTTTTAATTTGTTAAACTCAATATGTTTTGTAATTTTCTGTTCGTAGGCTCATGGAAATTCATTTCAAAAAAAGGTTATGCTTCTTTTCGGGGCAGGTCATGCTATGGAGGTAAGTGATTGATTTACTTGTATTAAGATGAAATGGTTTATTTTATCTTTTGACCAGTTGTGTTACAAGGAATTCCTTTTTCCCATGAATCACTTGGTCTCATTCATCTCTCATGTTTCTTTTTTTTCTTGTTACTCGAAATGGCCGAAACATTTCTGTTTCCAAGGTGATAAAATCGAAATTTTTATTCTTCGTAGTGATTCATTATTTTTCGAGGTGTTTTGTACTGTTTTGAAATATTTCAGCTTCTTTACACCATTGTGTCGAAATATTTCATGGTATTTGCAGATGTTTTTGTATATTTTGACCAATGTCTTAAAAAAATAATTCTCAAATTTTTATTTGTTTTCATTATGTTTTCAAAATGAGATGAACGGAAACAATGCAGCGAAAGAAAATTTTGATTCTTGATTGGGGGTGGGTTACGCAAGCTCAATTATGCAATCTTGCATCAGCAATCAGTCAACCATGTCTGCTAGTATGTTATTCTTGTACACCTGGTTGACTGATAGCCAGTTAATGATTATGATGATTTCCTAAGTGGTGAAATGATATTTGTGAAATGCAAAAAAACCAATGAAGAATAAGAATAAGAAAAATTATTTCATATTCCAAGTTCTTGTCCTCCGTTTTATTTTCTTCCTGCATTTGATATATAACATATTTAGCATCAATTCACTAATTTGGGAAGTTTACTTTATCTTTTTTGGATATAAGATTTTTCTTTGGGGTTGTAATGTTTGCATTTGGTGAAATTCTTGTGTTTTTATAATATTATAAATGAAAAAACAGAAGCTCTTTTGAAAGATCTTTCAATAGTGATTTCGTGTGTGCCTAGTAGGTACAAAGGAATATATAGGGGTATAATATGCGACTATTATACTTGTATACATATAAATACGTATACTTATATACACTCGTAGATACATGTGCATATATGTGTGCATGTGTAGATGTTGTCATACTTACAGGACAGGAGCAAATCTGGACCCAAAAAAAAAGTAATTTTTTCCCCTCCCGAAGCAAATTTATTAGTTAATTATTTAGCACAAGAAAATCCATTTGTTGAGCTTTTTTGCTTACAAAAAGCAACAGCTAGGAGTGAAGAAAGTGAGAGGATTGTATCTTTGTTTTACACACCAAGGCAATAATGACCATTATAAAATATTGCATAAGAGTCAAGTAAGAAGGATAATCATTACATCAGATCACGTGATTACCAAATAACAATGAAAATTGTAAGAGAAACGTGTGTATGTTTATGTGCATTACCGAGAGAAAAAGGGGGAGGGGGAGTGGACAAGAAATGGTAATGGGAGTCAATGCTATACATGCCAAAGGTTGGGCAGGGCGTGCTGAAGATTTCTTTGCAAATGTGTTTGAACTGCAGATCTTTGTGGTCATTTTTTCCTTGCAGAGTCATGAGAACCAGTTTTGCTCTAGCTTACTGATCTAGGGCATTATACTATGCTTTGGTTCTTTATTTTGATATCATTAGTTGGGCCCTAGGTGTGGTGACAGGAGGTGCTAGGATTCGTTCTTCTTTTGTTTTGCTTGCTTGGGGGGGATTTTGATTGGATGTTCTTTGTAGATGAAGTGCTTATTATCATGGTTCTAGTGACATGATCTGGTACTATGCTAGTATGGGGTTTGTATTGTGAATTCCTCATGTGCACATTTTCTGGTGCATTTTAATTATTATGCTTATTCTTGTCCATCCACTACATTCAAACTTTTCCATTTCATTTTTTGACTGATTTGATGGGGCTTGAATACAAGTGCCCACTCTTCAGAATTCATGCATATTGACCACTAGACCAGGCACCAGTTTCAACAAATGCTATGTTCAATGATTTAAAGGGTTATATGGGAGAAAAATATTTTTATGCATTTTAAAATCATTATGCTTGCCTGTAAAAGTGTGATGATTGTTGAATGCTAGAAAATGGTTCTTCTAGTTTGCATGTGCCTTCTTCCTCGTAATTTTGCTTTAAATAATGGATCAGTTTGTCTAATATGATACTTGTGTGAGTCAGGACAAGTCCAATGGGACAAATCAAGGAGGACCGACTCAGAGAGCTTCAGCCTTAGCTGCATTAAACTCTGCATTTACTTCACCTTCTGGGGCAAAATCTGCTGCTGCATGGAGACCATCAGGAAGAGGTCAGGGATCACAGAGAGCTGCAGCAGTAGCAGCTTTATCATCAGTTCTTACTGCTGAAAAGAAGCGGTCGCCTGAAGCCTCTCCTGCCCGATCTAGTAGAAGTCCACCAGCTGAAGCTAGCCAACCTGGTATTCCAACTGTGCTCATCCTATTTATTTGCTGTCAGTTTCGTTACTTGTGCAGGTTCCATTATGTTTGATTGTTGGTAGTATCTCTAATATTCTTCATTGCAGCGTCTTTGAATCTCAATTCCTTACAGCATCCCTTCAATATATTCCATTCTTTTGGCTTGGTTTTCTTCATTTATTGAACATGTGGGCTAAATCACAATGTTCTTATTAGTTAACTTGTAGTTTATTAGAATGATGATACAAACATGCAAAGGGAGTAGGAGAGAAATGGCTGCAAATGATGGCATAAAGAAAATAAGAAGAAAGTACTTGGAAACATCTGTCCTTGGTTTAGAAGTTCCCAGTCCTACAGAATAGAATATACTTGACACCATTAATTGCCTCTGGCCTCTAGAAATAAATATTGATTTGAAGTTGCCATCAACGAGTAGCAAATTTTGCCCTGGAGGAAATCACTGCTAATAAGAAGGCCTGATAGATGTGTGGGACTTGTAGGCTTGACAGTTATTGCATGTTTCTACTCTTCTGTTGCAAGTAAATCTAATCTTGTTATTCTTCTAGTGTTGGTCTTGAAATTTGAATATTCTGACATTTTAGTATTGCTTGTACAGTTTCTGAGGCTGTGGATTCTAATGAATCTTCAGAAGTTAAGGATACTGAAATAGTTGAGCTTGTGTCAGAAACAAATGGTGATGAGTCAGAGCCCAATCCAGGGGCAGAGCAGGATGAGGATGGTAGTGAAAGTAGTCAAAGCACGTTTAGTTATGAACAGCTGAAGGCTAAATCCAATAGCCCAGTGACTGGAATTGATTTTAAACGAAGAGAGGTTTGTCACATTAAGCTTCTTGTTAGATTGAAATGCTTTGTTTGGCTTTTAATTCCAATTTTCACTGACTGATTTTTCAGGCTTATCTCTCTGATGAGGAATTCCTGGCTGTACTGGGGATGACAAAAGAAGCATTCTATAAGTTGCCAAAATGGAAACAAGATGTCCACAAGAAGAAAGTTGATCTCTTCTAGAAACTGAATTTGCCCATATTTGAGTGATTCTACTTCTTTTGCCTCTTTACTTGAAATTCGTCGTTTATCTTGACTCTTTCTATCAGAGTAGCGTACTCTTTATTTGTTCGCCATGCCTGGATGGCCATATCTTGCATTTTGGTGTCTGCCACATGATGACCCTAGCTGTAGTTACTATCAGTTTTGATTATTTGGTGCCAGCCTGAAGAGTGTTTGCCCCCCCCCCCCCTCTCTGACTGCTGTTGTTTGTTATGATCACAAGATTGTAGTTTGAAGACAGTCAGGAAGTTCAAATTCTTTGATTTGGTCAGTAAGTATCTCGGTTTGTGGCTATTGGAGTTTTTTTTTTTTTTTGTCATTTATTTGTTGAAGGGTGTATATGTATTGCGTTGGTACTCACTTTCAATATAAAGAAATTCAGATGATGTTTTGTCATTCAAATGCTTTGAAGCTATAATATTAGATGGATAATTCCCATCCGATGTACCCAAACTTTGTCATTCCCCTCTGAAGTGATAATGTCAGTCGATATGCTTGTTGCACTGTTTGAATTGGTCAGTGCTGCCTACATGTTGATGATAGCTAATCAATTTTCACCCTTTGTTTATAGTTTGGTAGTTTTTGTTTGCTGTAATGGTACATATCTGGGCTGTGAAGAATTGGAATGCTGGCGCGAGTGTGATTATAAATCTTGTTAAGAAAGATTACATACAAATACATATAGTAGCTTCAGTCTTATTGTACCTTGTGATGAGAATTTAATGTTGGCTTCAGCATTCAAAATCTTTGCACCTTTTGCTAGAAACCATTGCCTTTCTATAGTGAAAATAGCTTCTGTAACTCTTGGAGGATTCACTTGCATTGCAATGTAAGAATGGACTTCTTTAAATGCACCTAATATTTGTTAAACAACTATCTACTCTAAAAACTTAAGCTATTAGAGATGGTGTAACTTAAGTATTTATATTTCAATACACTCTCTCCCTTACAAGTTAGGTTTTGTAACTAGCACATGGAAATTTTTTAATAATTAGAGTGACGGTGAGATTAAACCACGTCTTTCTACTTTGATATCATATTAAACAACTATTTACACCAAAAATTTATGTTATTGGAGAGAGTATAACTTAAGGATTTACACTTCAACAATATCATGTTGTGACGTGAAAGGTCCTCGGACGAGGATGAAGTTATGTTGGGGCCAGTGGCTCCAAGTCTCGAAAAGTTAAAAATTTTATTATTGAGTTTTACATAAGTTCCCGCTTCTTTTTGTTTTTTTCCTATATTAATATTTTGAATGAATTTTTTTTCTTATTTGGCTAGTGAAAGGTTTCCGGCTCCATTAACACCTCTGGGTGCAAGTAAAACGTGTACTTGTTCATCGTTGCAAAATATAAATTGACCACAAAATTAAAACCTATAATTCTCAAAATTTTGTTAAAGAAGGAGAGAGAAGGATATGTGGTATGTTAACCTATTCGAAGCAACTTGAGTCTAGTCATAATTAATTATCAAAAGAGTTTAGAAAAATGATCAAATTAAGGTTGTTTTCTAATTTGAACGAGCCTTGGTAAACCAAAATCAAGCCCAAGTTCAGGTGTTTAGATCGTTTAACAATCCTACCTATAATTTTTCAGTACAAAAAGTGCATTTTATTTTCAATTTTTTTGACAATAAGAATATACATGGCAAACAAATATAAAGAGAGAAAAGCTAGCACACCTAACCACATGCACACAAATAGTTAAAACCTAACAAAATAGCTTACCTACAAAACACTACAGCACAACATAAACAAAAAGCAAGACAAAATGAACATGAGCAACATGTTAGGCACACACTGTTTTCTCCTGTACGTGAAAAGGTTATTTTTGTGACGCAAATCCATGGCAAATTGATCACACATCATGCTAAGGGCTGCATTCTTGAACACAAAAAGATTTAAAGAGTCAATTTCTAAAATAATATGTGTAAGAAAGGCATTTTTCGAAACACCATGAACTTCAAATGATTTACCAAACACTTAATAGGAAAATTGACGAAGTGGCGAAAAATAAGAATTATTTTACCATCCTACAGTGATTTCCAAACGTATCTTCTCCAAATACCTTAATTTCTACATTATTTTTTACCCTATCGTTGTGTGTATGGAAGTGTGGTTACAATTCATACTTTTCAATATAAAAGCATGTTTAAAATGCTTTGAATAGAAAAACGTAAGACCAATTTTTGCAAAACACGATAAACTTGAGTTGAAATCACGGTATGTAAGAAAAAAAAAGTTTTAAAAAAACACAATAACAAAGAAACTGATTTCGAAAATTAGAGTTTATATTAGAAGTAAGGCAAGGCAAACAAAAGCTGATGATCCAACTCAGACATGAGTTGATTGCAATACCTTTCACCTAACCATGATTTTGTTGGTCTTTTATATAATGCATGCTTTGTAAGATAAACCATAACTTCTTTTTTTTTTTTTTTTGGGTTCATGTGTTTGACTCAGTTTTCGTACATTTCAACTAATCATAACTCTGGTCCGGTTAACGACAGGTAATCTACATCGAAACTAAGGTATTCACGAGGAATTTACCCTCATGACCAAGCCTCAAGAAATTGTTAAAATTCGAACTCAACATCTGAATTAACAACTGTTACCACTTGACCAACCCATGGTATTATAAACCATAACTTCGTCTGTATAGTGATTGTCATTTAGAGCACATGTGGGGAAGGAGCTTTGGATTTTGCTCTTTTAAGTGGCATCCCAACCATTCCATTTAGAATCAATTATCCAAAGCAACAACCCACTTGTAATAATTATATGTGATATTCAATCAATATTATAGAAAACCCCACCATTATTTTAGGTTATTTCCATAAAGTTTTCCTTATTTTTGCAATTGGAAGTCCCCTCTTTCATCCTTCTTTGGGGCCCAATGCTTTGTATCATTGGCTGGTAACAAACTCGATTAGGCATTGTTTAATGTCCATTAGAGCCAGCTCATCGACCGGTAAACCGCCTAACATCCTGGCCCATGTACAGAAACTTGACTTGTGGGCCGGGTCAATGTCGAACCTAATGTATTCCAAAGTAACAAAATGGGGGGAAAAAAAAAAGAAGTAGAAGAGAGTGAAAAAAGAGAAAACACTAGAAATTGATTCATAATTGCTGTAGGCCGGGGTACAAGTAATTTTCTTCACATGACAATGGTACAAAACACCTTGTGTACAAGTTTGATCTTATAGTGGTAGGGGTGTGATAGTGATATGGTCACACAGGCTTCCCCCCTGTGAGGGATCTACCTCCCCATTACCGGGGATATACCTCCCTCCAAGAGTATTTCTTCCCCATTACCGGGGATATCCCGCTCTCCACCAAAAGATTTCGGCTAACCTGCGGGTCAAACCCCCACAGTACTGCTCTCATATGGTGCTTCGGCTTATATGGAGATGGGAAGACGACTCTTTCCCCGATGTGGGACAGAGGTAATGGCTACTGTGGGGGTTTGACCCGCAGGTTAGCCGAAATCCTTTGGTGGAGAGCGGGATATCCCGGTAATGGGGAGGAAATGCTCTTGGAGGGAGGTATATCCCGGTAATGGGGAGGTAGATCCCTCACACCCCCCCCCCCCCCCCCCCACACACACACATAAATGGTATCCCATGTGAATTAAAGAATCCTACCTAAGTCCATAAACTACCCGTGAGGATATGCCATCTATGCTTCAAATCATACACAAACAAAGTATAAAGACTATTGAGTGGACAAGGCAACTGCACATGACCTAACTCACTTCATTCTGAAATTCCTTCTCTGGTGAGCCTAACAATTTTCAAACGACCCTTCAATTCAATACAAAATGCAGAAAAGATTGTTAGATATAGTTTATTCGTAATAGGTTCGAGTTATTATAAGTTTTATCGGTCTGGCCTGTTTAATAAATAAAAAAATCGACTATATGCGATACAAACTTAATTATTATACGATTATGCATTATTCGAAACTTAAAAACATGAATTAACATCATGATATGAAGACACATCCAAGTACGTCATGTTTTGAAGTTTTAAGGTAATTTGTAAAGATCTAACAATCACTAAAACCCACATATCTACAAAACAATAATCCTATCACATCAATTAAATTTAAAAAACTTCCTGTCTTTCCGTATGAAGCAAGCAATCGAACTTTGATCCTCTTGTAAATTTATTATTATTATTATTATACCACTCCTCTAGAAGTAGTATTCGATAATTAATTCCTTCTATGAACCATCTCTTTCACAAGCTCGAGTTGCACAAATTGTGTTGATTAAATGACTGATATTTTTTTTTCATAAATGATGAATCATCCTAATTACGTATATTTGAGCGTCGCTCTAATAAAAACTACACATATATATAATCATTTATAAACCATAGACACAAGGAGCTAAATATTTCAGATGCTCGGCTATTTAATGTTCCAAAAAGTTGCAATTGTAAAGAAATAGTTAAGTTTTTTCTTTTTTTTTTTATCACCCCTTAAATGTTTCTCAATTACACGTGTTCTCTACACTTGTTTATATAAACTCAGAGATGTGTAGAATCATATGTAAACTATATAAATCGAGTAAATTAGGACATCTCTTATGAAATTCAAACTTTAAGCTCGTGATATTAACCACGGAAATCCGGTAATCGAAGCTATCCATGAGTATTGGCTCAAATTGTATTAAGAAAACACCACCAATCTTTTTTAATCATGGGTCCAACATTAAAGCCAAAATAGCTCTTGTGGGGCGGCCATGTATTTTATTTCTACCCTCCTTTGGCAGTGTCTTGATGTAAAGAAACTGATACTTTCCAGACTGTCTAGCCAAGATGTAAAGAAACTAATATTTTCCAGACTGTCTTGGAAGGACTTTGACTATGCTAACCAAAAAAAAAAGATATCAGCCTAAATTTTACTATTTTAATGGATATTTTTATAATTTTTATCGATCATTTTACAACAAAAT